GTGTGTGTGTGTGTGTGTGTGTGTGTGTGTGTGTGTGTGGGTGGAGGTGAGGTTGGGGGTTGGTCTTTCATAATTGTAAAGCACAGAAGGAACAATCGAGAGCTGCTGGTTAGAAACTGACCAGAAATGATTTTATCCAGTCGTGTCGCATAAATGCGTAACGCAGGTGAGATATCGGCCGCTGCGCCATCCCTGAGGCCCCGCCCACCCCGTGACAGGTGTAACGAAGCAACATCAGGCCGTTCGTTTCATCCGGCCTGGAGAGGACGAGGACTGAAGCCATTGTTTTATTGTTGTTCTTAATAACGGTGTTATTACAGTGATCGAGCGTAGAGTCTGGAACACTGTGTGCACGTATGTAAGGGCGGGCGGGCCTAATGATGAACACCGCCGCTGTGTGCTGACCAGGCTCAGGCGCTCGCCGTCCGCCATCGCAACAGTTAAAGGTTCAGTCGGTCATTTTTCAGCTTATTTCATAGAAAAAATCATAAATGGATGTATTTGATATTTCACACCCCGTCATGCAGTTTGTCTCTGTTTGTAGTTTCACCTCAACATCTGTACAGGAACTCATCTGGTTAAGTTATTGGGGGCGTGGCCTCTGTGACTGACAGGTGGCTGTAGCTGCTAGGCTAACCTGGACGTCTGCACCATGTTTGTGCTGTTGGAGCCTTTTTAATGACATCATGTGACCAATAACACGGCTGCTGTGAGGTTACCGTGCTAACAGAGCAAACAAGAAGGCGGAGCTCCAAGTTTGGTGCACAGTGAGAGTCTAGGATTTTGATTGGACGTTGCTGAGCACTAATGAGCAGGTATCTGTGTAATTATATGGTACCAGCGCTCCACCCTGTCGTTACCAATATAGTCACAAAAATACCGTCAAACCAGTGGCTACATCCGTCTTTTATGTACAGTCTATAACGTGGCGAGTGTTTAACGTCGTTCGTTTGAGAAGTTCTCAGTTATGAAACAGCAAAACCTGCAGAGCTGAGGTATTAATGTTCACCAACATGTACAAACACAGAATAGACTCAGCCAGAGAAAACATAAATATGAAACTATGACATTAAACTGAATAACAGCAAAAATGAAACA